CCTAGTGGGCTCAGGCCCTACAGCTTCACATAGTTCGTACAACTGGTTAGCAACCATGTATCGAACGCGCCAAGACTTGTCCTGGTTATTAGCAGAAAAAAAACATGCACAATTATGAACAAATGAAATTTCCTTCCAAAGTAGGTAAATTCTTCGAGACAGAGAGGATCGTACTATAATAGCACCCAATATTATCACAGAACTTTAATAATAAGATCTACAGTAAGTTTTTTTTATCAAGGGTAAACCAATATAATGGATCACTGAAAGGTTTAATCCTTCAGTTTAGCCCTTTTTAACCTAAATTTTACTCCTACAACTGTAATTTCCGCTAGCAAATGTAGGCAAGTGCACAAAGTGTTTTCCGGAATCATATTTTGATAAGTGTTACTATGCTAAGACTTATTGGTACATGTTCATACTGTAAACCAAGAAAAAATGTTCAAAGACTGTAATGAAGACCCATCATATAACATTTATCCTGTAAAGCTTATTTTGCAACAAATTCACTCTAACTTAACAAAGTGACTTTCCAACCACCAAAATTTAGCAATAAAGGCTTCACCTAAACAAGCCTACTCAAGCCATTCATCCACGTTTCTTTTCTCATTCCCCTACTCTGCTAGTTTGTGAAAAAACAGTAAGCAATACACCGCTCACCCAGTCTAACCCTATGCTACTACCTAAAAGCTTCATATGAAGAGAGTGGCTAGGATTTGAATACAAGGTTCTTTTCCATGTCACATACATCGGAAACATTCAGAGAACTTAAAGGCTATATCTTTGTGTGGAGAAACAACACTCTAGATCAAAGGGCACGCCTAATGTGCATAATTAAACAGAAATACAAGAAGATATGACAACTATATTTATTTAGATGAAAGATGACAACTATTAGGAAGTTAAGTTGCTAGTATTTCACTGGTAGCTCAATCATCCAACAACAAGAAGTTGTTACATGATGGAATTAATTTTTTTTTTAAGTGAACAAAAGAATATAAATCATGGTGCAAGGTGCAAGGTGCAAGGATCTGTGTGAGCCAGGACAGCATGACTCCAAAGTCCAAATACAAACTAGAGAGTACCTGAGAGAAGTTGACAATGACAGGCAGGATATGTGCCACACAGTCCTGAGGCTCCAACAGCTTGCCAAGTGCGGCACAGCCCTCAACAGCTAATAATCGCACAGAATCCTGATCTGGAATCAGAAGACATTAGATAAGCCAACAAAAAGATGTTTTGAGAATAAAACACTAGAAAACCGACAATCCGTCACACTAAAACGCATCCTAATGAAACTTCACATTTAACCAAAAATAACCATTTTATTTCTATAAGTAATAGGCTATATGAAGTAACATCAACTTAAAAGCCAACAACTTCATGAAGTAACACTAACTTAGAAATCTTTATTAAGAGAAATATTTGGATAGACCCTCTCTAGTCATAAGTTGCTAATTATAACTGAAAATATTACCATCATGTGTAAGATCATCAAATATTGACATGATGTCACTCTTCAGGTAAGCAGATTCAACTGTAGCAGCAAACTTCCCCAAGTTTGTAGCAGCCGACCTTCGCACCATAGGCATGTCGTCTTGACACAATTGGCTGTAAATAGACCGAAGTTCTGTTTTCAACATTTCTGGGGCACTTGAGTAAGCAATATGAAAGAGCCCACATGCAGAAACCCTTGCTGTGAACCATTCACCAGCTGCTAGCCTCTAGTGATTGGAGAGAATAGGAAGATGTATAAACATTTGACAAATCACGAACCATGATGTTAAGTAAAAGATAAAAAACATATATACGAGTGATGTTCAGAATTGCACAGACTAGAATTATATTAGGGATTGCAAGTGAAAAGATAAAAACATATATGGGTGAAGTTCAGAGTTTCACACGTTAGAATTATATTAGGGATTGCAAGCGAATAAAAGGTCTTTGTATGTTTGTGTAACTACCATGATGTCATAATGATGAATAATAAGGAGCAAACAATGGTAATAGTCATAGTCAAACCTTCACAAGCGGGACGAACCAATCAACTAAATCACTCTCCCTCATCTGGGATCCAATTCTACACAATGACTCCACAGCTTTATCCCTCACACAGGTCTCCTCAACTGTACAAAGGGTCTCTAGAGGTGGGAGAAGAACATGAGCATGCTCCACACCTCCAACATAAGGAATAAACACGCCCAACTCTTCTGCCATTGCAAGCAAAACTTCATCATCGTCGTCATTGTTTTCACTCAAAAAGGGGATCAACTCCTTTCTGGTTCTTTCCTCACCAAGTGCACGTGCAATAGTTGATAGCCTCCTAATAGAATTCAACCGCAATTGGATATCATCATTCTTAAGTTCATCTATTAACACAGCTATCGGGTACAATGGCTCATCTACCATTGCCATCCTCTCGAGATTCTGTTAGAGCTGCAAATACCAAACTTTCAATCAAACAATTCCAAAATGTGAATCGAGAAACAATTACAACAAAACTACAAAAGCATCCGACCCTAAATCTCCCCGAAAAATCACAAATTTTCATCTAACCAGCCAGATCCAAAACAAATCCAGCGCATAAAACAGGAAAATAATCGAATGGAACGCTCAATTTACTAACATAACATACCTCCAAATCTGAGATCTAAACAAAATCCCTAGCGAATTCCAATCAGAAAATATACAAAAACAAATACCGCCTAGGAATCAAATATTTAAGCTAAAAATAACTGAAACTAGAAAGAGGTGAACAGCTTGTTCCAAATTGAACCAATTAAGCTCCACAAACACAGTATTGCAAAAGAAAAATCGATTATTTAATGCATATTTTTTCTCTTTATGCAAAAAGATAAGAAATCTTCCCGGAGAGGAGGAAAATAGATCGTTACCGGTGGAAATTTTGCCGCCGTTCGCCTGAGATTCGAGCTTGAATTTCGTCAAAATCTAGAGAGAGAGTGAGAAAGAGTTAGAGATGGAAAAGAGAGATATTTGCCTACTGATGAAATGACAATGTAATGTTTAGATGGGTCGCTTTTCATTTAAGCCCAACAAGATAACTTGGGCTTGAAGATGGGTAAAACCAATTGGGCCTATTAGGCAAGCAAATAAACAAGCCCACTTTTAAATTAACAAAAAAGTGAAGGTTCGATTTTAGTAGTTTAGTTGGTTGACTACCTGAACTTTCATCTCATTTGGCGAGGGTTCGATTCTCCATCTAGTAAAAGAACAAAAATTAGTTTTTATAGTTTATTTATATTTAAACATATATGGTGTGACAACATGTTTGAACTCTAACTACTAATCCATTTTGTAAGAAGTTTTGGCGCTCTAAATTATTTTCACGTTTAAATTGCTCAAAGCATGATACTTCATATTTGGCTAAAACAGTAAAAATAAGTAAATTTTGGTTTTATATAGTCTCTATCATGTGTAACTTTAATTACTTTCTTTATAATAACTTTTGGACTACACTAATATAGGAACTCGTACAAATTTATTTGAGAAATGTCCGACGTCATAATATATTAGAGATCAAGTATTGACCATTCAGAGATCGTTGGCTACTCATTCGGAGCTTCCAAATCAAATAATTTGTGTTACCAAGCAAAGAAAAGCTTAAAATTAATTATACGTAACAAAATTATAAGACAATAGCACAATAAATGATCCAGGATATATAAAGATTATAGAAATAGTGGAGCAGAAGAAATAAAATAGATATAGCAAATAGGAAACGGGTAGAGGATAAGCAAATGAGCAAGGAGAGAGCATATAATCGAATATAGAACAATATAAATAAAAGACTAAGATATATATGTTAGAAATGAGTAGCAATACAATACATTTCATTAGAAGGGCTAAATTCGAATAGATCAAAAATCAAATTAAAATCACATCTTGTTGAACATGATCATCCAACATTAATTAATAAATAGATGATCAAGCCAATAAGGGAAATGAAAATAATTCCACATTTTCTTAACATATTAATTTCATTTTTCTCCTTGATTAAGTCATACGTTTCTTTGACCAAACACAATATACAAATTAAAATTATACCATGAGAAAATTTGATAAATTGGTTAAAGCGTCTCTTTTAAGTCTCAAATGACCTCCAAATCTTAATTATTAGCCAGATAATTTTCTCTCTTAATTAGTGTTAATGACTGATGGGGTTAATTCGAATACAAAAGTGATGGTACTTATTTAAGTTAAAAGTAAAAAAGTAATGAGTCAAACGAGTTGAGTTTCTTAATAAATAAGGGGATGTAATTTTAATCCTTGGGCATGCGACTAAAGTCCAAGATTTATATTAGCTTAGTTTGTTAGTTATATAGGGTTACATTTGAGCGAAAAAAAATATTAAAAGTATCTATCGATCAAAAGGTTAATAAAGAATATTATTAGTCATTTTCGATACATTAAAAATATTTTTGGGCTCTTTTTCATTTCTAAAATAATGTGCTAGTATAATATTATCAATCTTGTATAAAACTTTACAAGAAGGATCTCCTTATTACTATAGTCTCAAATGCACTATGACTCATTCATTAACCATTTTTCTTTTTATCTCAATGTAGAATGAAGAATCAAATCATAACTTGAAAATTAATGATAAGAGTTGGGCAATTTGATATTACTAATAGCCTTATTTTTTTTGCCTTGAGTATATATATGTATATTCATGATAAAAGAAATACCTCATATATACATCAATATACATATTTCATTTTTCTAATTCAACTCCTTTCCTCCTTACACAACTATAAAACAAATGACAATTTTTGCCTTTTTACTATCACACAAACTTATTACATTATGAACATACTCGATAAATTCTTTTTTTTCCCATTCATTCGGTGTTCAGCATTCACATTGGAGTTCGACTAAATTCAGATTCGCGCCGAAAAATCCCACCTTGGGTAAAGTGCTCCTTAACAAAGGCGACTCCATACTCAAGGAAACTCGAACATGAAACTTCTAGTTAACGACGAAGGAGTACTTGATAAATTCTTTTAACTCTTGACACTAATGGGCTCTTTAAACTCTGCCCTTTGACTCAGTTCTTCAAAACAATCAACCACATTTTGTAGCCTTGCAACAAATTCAATGAGAAGTGAAGCAAAAGTAGCCAAAGACAAAGCACTAGCACTTAAATAAGTTTCAATTTCATCAATTGTATCAATCTTTTCACCATCAAGTAATGAGAGACATGAAGGCCAATGATTTTGCTTGTTAAATAACATTGACTTTGTGACCAATTGGTCTTTTGGATATTGTGGAGTATGCAAATCCCTTATGTCAATGGATGTTTCACTAAGTGATTGAAAATTTAATGGCAAATTTTCACTACTACCATTTTCATTTTCATTTGAAGAATCATCAAAATTGTTAATAATGTTTGGTTTTCCAATTTCCCAATTTTTTGAGTTGACTAAGAGATATGACTTGTTGTCTATTTTTTTCTGAAGATTTTGTGCTGTCTCATGTACTTCTTTTAGGATATTTTCATGACTATTTAGTGCTTCCATTTTATCTAATTTTGTTCCTAGCTCACGTAGAACATTTGTAGCGTCGATACCGACTCTTTTAAGCTCATTTTGAAAAACCTTCCTCTTATCTGGTGGTGCCTGCAAAAATGTTTAAGAGTTTTATTTCCATGTTTTGAAAGTACAACGACTCAAGATGATCTGCGACAACATATAATTGTAGTTATTCTAGTTTGATGAACTAAATAATTCAGTAAATTGCATGTTAATCTTGTAAAGGAATGATTGATTGTTATATGTTTTTAGACTTATCATATAAACATGGTCCATCTAATAACATGTGACTGTTTATAGTGATCCCAATTTGACAATCTTAGTATTATGGTAAATAACCTGTTAAAACATAAGAATTATTTTGGGTTCATTTCATGTCTCCATCTAAAGTGGATGATGGTGCAAAATGTAAGACCTAATTAAGCAATATTTTGATTTTCCCCCTGTGTTGGTTGATTGGATCCTTAAAAAATATCATTATATATGTGACAATATGGGATCTAGAGGTTCATCTGAATAACTCTGTCAGAAAATTATATTATTTGTATGTAATAAGGTGAAAATATTTGTTATGTATATACATGAAATGTTAGTTTTCCTTGATTTCGTACTACTAAAAAATAATCAAAAACCTATTTCAAGAGGTCAGGTTTTTAAAAATAAATAAATAAATAGATTATTTTTTATCAAAATGGACCTTTGGAGGTCCTTTTTTTTAGAGTAATGTGTTTACTTCCTTACACTTAAGTGAAAATTTTGAATGCATCAGATTCTTCAAAAATAATATATTTTCAAGAGTACGACATAAGTGTGGCGATATTTATGAAGATTCAAACAACATATAACACAATTAGTTAGAGTGTAAAACCTGAATTTTTGATTGGATGCATCCATGTAATGCCATGACCATGAATGCACAATGCCTCAATTCACTGCTTAATTTGACAAAATCTCTCCATGGATTCTTGTGCATTTTATAACGTCCATGAGGTGGCTCCCAAATAGCAAATCCAAGCTGTTCAAATATATATGAATCATGTAACTATATACAAAACTCTGGATTTCATTGCTAAATTATTCGTATAGCTAACATAATTTTATGATAATTCATTACTAGCTAGTTTAATTTGTTAGTACTAAATATGATTATCCATACGTACCAATGTTTGCTCTCGACTTGTGGATTCTATAACCGATTTGTATCCATTATATTCCGAGTGATTTGTAGATTCATCACACTCAACACAATTTAAATATCCATCAATACAACCTACCAAAAAAAATAGAGAGTATTATATAAGTCGTTCTTAAGAAATGTGAATTTTTTTTATATCGACATATACCTTCCAAAGACGTTGCAAGATCCATAAAATTCTTAACGACCAATCGATGCAAATCTTCACCAGCCCAAATAGGGCAAATACCAATATTAATAATCAAACAAATACAAGCACCAAGAGCAATTAGGGCTAAACGAGTTAAAATTGCCACATTGTATCCTCCAGTCCTATTTCCAGCCATAATGAGAATACAATATGTTAAAATAAATACTCGATATCCATATTCATATGGTGCCATTGTTGGATATAACTTCAAATATGTTCCACAAAATGCTGCAAAATAAATAAATAAATGGTATTAATTAATAACATCTTATACACGATAGTCGATAAACCTAATTTAATTTCCTCATAGACCATAGTATTCGATTATCAATATAGAATTATTTCCTTCCAAAATAAAACGGAATAGTGTATCTCAAATTCCAATAACATAGTGGACATAGAGATTGAAACAAATCATAAGATACAGCTTTTATTTTGAAACAATGCATAGAAAAAAGAGAAGAAGAGGAATTCAAAAATTTATATTAAAATTTGAAACAAGATCTCTTTGTTCCATATTAGTTGATCACCTTATTAAATTAAGAAATATTAATTAATTTTTATTTATTTTTCATGCAATTAATTCTTTTAAAAAGTGTTCACATTTTTTTATAAAATTCTCAAAAAGTTTTTTTAGAGATAAATTAATAAATCTTCTTATTTATGATTTCCTACGCACCGTATAAAATAAAAAATCATAAGTAACTATTCCCTCTGTTCCATATTAGTTGATCACCTTATTAAATTAAGAAATATTAATTAATTTTTATTTATTTTTCATGCAATTAATTCTTTTAAAAAGTGTTCACATTTTTTTATAAAATTCTCAAAAAGTTTTTTTAGAGATAAATTAATAAATCTTCTTATTTAAGATTTCCTACGCACCGTATAAAATAAAAAATGATCAACTAATATAAAACTCGGAAATAGTTGGAATTTGGTGCTTATTTGGGAAACTAGTGGTGTCTTTAGTGGAAAAGATAGGTGTCTCTTCAGAAAAAAAAAATCATTGCTTTATACCTAAAACAAAAAAGTTCACTTTATTTGAAGATTTTAAAGGTTTAATTATTATTTTTCGGAATAACGGTATGAATATAAAAAAAAATAAAGAAAAGGAATTTAAGTAAAAAAATCAATAGCATGAAAGTTTGTCATTTTCCAAGCTTTTTATATAACCAATAAACTCCTCCTCCTTTTTTTTCCTATGTGGGATAAATTGAAGTCATGAAATCAAACAACTTTTACACTATCAAATCTACTAAAATATATAAGTATGTTTATATAAACAACTTAAAAAATTAAAAAAGATTATTTATCATAATAATAAGTTCATCTGACGTTCTTTTATATTATGTACGATGTATATAAATTAAATTTTTATGAGAATCTATGCTACTAGAAAGTTTAATTAATTACCTACGATAAAAATACTGAAAATCCATACAACTTTTTCCCACTCTCCAGCCCATAACGCTAATTGAGCAAAGATGAAAGCAAGCATCCCAGCAAATAATGTACCCAAACCACGATTAAATCCTTTAATAAGTGTTCCTCCTGCCAAAAATAAAAGATTTTATACTGTCGTTATCTTAATTTATATGTCACAGTTAGAATATAGTAGAAAAATGTCATGTTGTAACTTGCAACAATGAAGAATGAAACATCAAGTAATACTAAAATCGAAGTATAAGATTGTAAATGAGTAATAATAACAATAATTAAAAAATGAAACTAGACAACGCTCGACCTACTAACCTTCTATCCTAATTCTTGACTATCTTATTTTTGTTATCTAAGGTCATGCCCTCAATATGATGCAGATAGACCATAGACCATATCCTGTTTAATCAGATCTCCCCAAGACTTTTTCCAGTTTATCTCTATCTCTCCTTATATCTACTGTAGTCAACTTATCACTCTGATCCTCTTCACTAGGGCACCAATACATTCTTCTCATCACATATCTGAATTATCTCAATTTTGTATCCCTCATCTTATCCACCACGAAGACTACTCCTATCTTGTTCCAGATCCTATTATTTCTAATATGCCCACACGTATATTTCGACATATAAAATTACAATGATAAAGTAGAAAAAATATATTGCGCTGTCAGTATATATAATTTAAATAGGGATGTTAAAGTTTAATACCTATGGTGAACTCAAACATAATAAGAACTGTTAAGATTGCCCATATTGAGAACTGAGCAATCTCTGGAAATGGTTCCTTCCAGAAAATAAGAAGAGACACAAAAAATAAAGCAAATCCCATTTTTAATGAAAAAATGATCTTTCTTGGATCATTTTTACCCATTTCAATTGCTTTCTTAGCAAAATCTTGAATATTGTTGAAATAAATACAACAACCATTTCTTTTTTCATCATGTATCAACAATTTTTCTTTGTTGTAAGAAGAAGAATCCTTCTTGAAGAAATTCTTTATATTCATGACCATTTATTGTTGTTGTTGATATTTTTTTTTCTTGGAAAAATTAAAGAAGAGAGAGAGGGGATGATTGATCAAATTAAGGGTCCATTTGTGCTCTCCAAGAGGTGTGGAACTTCTCTTATATAAGATATAAGTAATTTTTTGAAAGAAAAAAAAATAAAGGAAAAGGAGAAAAGTTGTTAAGAGAAAGAAAGGACAAAAGGACATAGAAATATGAAAAAAATGAAATTAGTAAAAATATTTTAATGAATTGTCAAACAAAAAAAAGAAAGAAATGTTCTTTTTTAAAAAGGATTAAAAACGAATGTACTTGAAACAAAAGAGAGTAGTATTATAAGTTAGTACTTGTGCATTAGAGCTTAACTAATTCAAATTTGTGTCGCAAAGGTTTTTTTTTTTGAGAAAACACTCCTACCAAAATGAAAGTGCATCCCAAAGCTCATAATTGAAACTCCTAGTTAGTTATGGAAGGAACATTTCTTTACTAATTTTGAGATAAATTACGAACAAGCTCGCTCTATTGAGGATTAGTAAGTTTTTGATATTAAAAAAGATGATATTAAAAATAAGTGATTTATAATTTTATAATTTGATAAGTACGTAAAAAATATTATTCACATTTTTTTTTCTTTATAACTGTTTTAAAAATCATTTTCTCATTGTTTGAACAATTATAGGCTTGAAAAAAATGAAAAAAATATCATCCATAAAGGTGTTCCTTTAAAATCTTTTTTTATTATTTATCTTAGTTTGAATTTGTTGGATCTGTTTAAATCCACCCGACAAGTTTACAGTGATTTATATCCTTATATTTATTATTCTATAGAAAATATAGTAATTTATTAAAGTGGAAAAAAATACCACATATAGTTAAATACAACATGTTTACACCTTAACTCAGCTTTTTAGTTTTGCTGCATTGGGAGTTGTGCGAGTCAATAAATATAGTAACAAGAATATAAGTAGAATCAATGTATACGGAGGTGTTTGGATGAGCTTTTTTTCAAGTGACTTATAAGTCAAAAGTTGGAAGTCGTAAGTCGGCGATACTTGATTTTAGACTTTTGGCTTTTTTGGTATTTTTTTGTCCTTAGAAAAGTGCTTTAAAACACTTTTTGAGTTATTCATACATTTTCAAAACTAAAAAATATTTTAAAAGTTGAAATCTACTCAAAATAAGTCGATCCAAATATCCACTGACCACTATATCTATAGCCTCTTAAATTTATCAATAAATTTTATTTAGACAATCAAATGATGATATATTTTGATTGAGCATCTAAACATAAGAAGCAGTCAAATTGTGACACCTAACAACGTGACCATAATATAATGTCCCTATCTATATTTATTATTACAAAACCTAACAATTTGACCTCCCTTTAATTTTTACGTCATCTTAAAATGGAAAAAAATTAAAAAATATATATATATTTTAAAGAAGCAGTGAAATTGTGACACCTAACAAGATTCACTCCAACCAAAATTTACTTAAAAAATATTTGTGATTCAGTTTTCTTAAATATTAAAAGAGGTAGCTCCTAATTTTTTTTTGTCATTTATTTTGATATATATATATATATTAAATAAGCAATCAAATTGTGTCCCCTCACATGATTGCCTCCAACAAAAATCTTTTCACATGCATTTTGATTTATTTTCTTTACTTTAAAATATTATGGTCCGTCGAATTATCATGAATCATCGTGTAGAGCTCACATGGTTTTTTTTTTCTTCCTTTTATCTAATACTAGGTAATGTTGCCCGTGCACGGGCCCAATAATATAAATGGTATGTTTTGGGGCTAATAACGGAGATTTTGAAGCGATTATTTGCGTGGATAAAGGAATACGTTTTTTTATCACAAACTTGTACTTTATTTGACGCTATTCAAGGCACAATAAGACTATCCACATACAACATTTTTGAAATATTTTATGTTGTCAATTATCATGATTTATAGTATTTTTACGATAGATTTACTTAAAGAATGAGTGGAAATTTTTGTATTTTTTTTCAAAACATATTTTATGTTGTCAATTATCATGATTTATAATATTTTTACGCATTTTTTAAATATAAAAAACCCAAAAAAAATAAGACAAATAAATTAAAATGAACCCAATATATGTTATTTTTGTTGTCTCAATTTATGTCACACAAATAAAATTTGGAGAGTCATCCAAATTTTAATTTTTTTTTTTTTAAATGTTTTAAGTTATTAATTATTGTGATTTATAATATTTTGATGTAACTTTCAAATAACCAACATTACTGGTCACTTTGTCCTAATTTATGTGATATGGATAAAATTACAAAATTAACCCTTTTAAAATGTCTTTAAGATATTTTAAGTTGTTAATTATTATTATTTATAATACTTTTTTGGTAATTTTAAAATGATATGTGTTATTTTTTCTGTCCTAATATATGTGAGCGTGAAAGAATTCTGAGAGTGAACCTATTTTATTATATAGCTTTTAAATATTTTAAATTGGTAATTCTTGTAATTTTTAATGCTTTTTAAGTCATTTGTAAATGATATATGTTGCTTCCTTTGTCCCATTTTATATAGTATAAATAAAATTCCCGAAACCAACTAAATTTTTAATATATTTTTAAAAATATTTTAAATTATTAATTATTGCGATTTATAATATTAAAAAAAAAAGTACAAAACTTGTATCAGCCTAAAAAATGACCACGATAATTCGAAGCCTACAGAAAGCAATATGGTTGTACGTAATTTTTAAATACTTAATATATATTACTCCACTTGTCTCAATGTATGTAGCATTGATAAAATTTTAAGATTCAATCAAATGTTGTTAATTGTTAACATTTATAATACATTTTACGTAGTTTTCAATAATTTCACATTAAACAATACATATTACTACTTTTGTCTCATTTTATGTGACATTGATAGATTAATTTTAACAATCAGTCAATTTATTTTTTCTGTTTTTTTAATAAATATTTTAAGCGGTCAAAATCATGATTTATTGTATTTTATACATAATTTTTAACGATAAATTAATTTCAAGAATTAATCAAATTTTTTTATATGTATTTATTTTTGAAATATTTTATGTTGTCAATTATCATGATTTATAGTATTTTTACGCAATTTTTAAATATAAAAAAAAACTAAGACAAATAAATTAAAATGGACGCAATATATGTTATTTTTGTTGTCTCAATTTATGTGACACAAATGAAATTTGAAGAGTCATCCAAATTTGCATTTTAAAAAAAAAATGTTCTAAGTTATTAATTATTGTGATTTATAATATTTTTATGTAACTTTCAAATAACTTACATTGCTGGTCACTTTGTCCTAATTTATGTGATATGGATAAACTTACAAAATTAACCCTTTTAAAATGTCTTTCAGATATTTTAAGTTGTTAATTATTATTATTTATAATACTTTTTTGGTAATTTTGAAATGATATATGTTATTTTTTCTGTCCCAATATATGTGACCCGGATAGAATTTTGAGAGTCAACCTATTTTATTATATATCTTTTAAATATTAAATATTTTAAGTCATTTGTAAATGATTTATTATATTATATTATTATATATTATATTATATTATATTTATTTCTACTATATAATAAAAGGGGTTTTATTATGATATTATATAATAGTAGAATATATATTATATATTATATAGGGAGTTTATGATGGGACACATAGAATGTCCCATGATAAACTCCCTCTTATATAATAGTAGAATTACAATTACAAAATTAACCCTTTTAAAATGTCTTTAAGATATTTTAAGTTGTTAATTATTATTATTTATAATACTTTTTTGGTAATTTTAAAATGATATATGTTATTTTTTATGTCCCAATATATGTGACCCGGATAGAATTTTAAGAGTGAACCTATTTTATTATATATCCTTTAAATATGAAATATTTTAAGTCATTTGTAAATGATTTATTATATTATATTATTATATATTATATAAACTCCCTTATAGTAGAAAAATAAATATATATTATATAGTAGAAAAAATGATTTATTATATTATATATTATATAGGGAGTTTATGATTGGACATCACAATGTCCCATCGTAAACTCCCTCTTATATAATAAGAGAATGCATCACATATATATATATATATATATATAAAGAGTGATATTCAGTTCGATACGAAAGAAAATATTTTCTTAAATACTAATTAGATAATTGAGTTTCTTACTTATTTCTTAGTTGATGTGAGATATTTTTTTCTTGAGTTGGCTGTCACATACACCTTATCTCATGGACTCAACGTTCTTGTTGAGGTTTATTCTATCGTATGAAGTTTGTCGACATTCAACACTGAGGTTTACCACGCTTTATCGGGATTTGTCTAAACTCAGTTGAACTCTGGTCCACATCAACAAGACTAATATAGGAATGACTGATACCATCTATAATGGTCTAGTCTACTAGTGATATTGTCCGCTCTGGATCTAGGCCCACATTATTTTAAAATGCGTCACTAGTTTGAAAGGCATGCTTACCTTTATATATCTAAACATCTCATGTATTTTGTCAATGTGATATTTCTTATCCTAAACTAGATTGTCACATCTGAGTAGGAATATCGATAGAAGTGTGAAGGTGAAAATGAAGTGTATTAAAAGATAGGGAGGACATAATCAGAGGCGTATTCGAAATTTCGAGAGGACAAGCGCACTATTACGAAAACAAGAATCTAGTATATAAATCTGACCGGTTTGACATTCTATCACTTGAATTCGTTAAATCTTTAAAATTATAGATCCAAAATTAATTCTTATATACGTGAGAGATATTACCAAATTTTAGAACGAAAGACAAGATAAATATAAGATGTAAATTTCTATTCTCAATCAGAGAGCTGCACCTAATTATCATTGCATTATATAATACTTTGAGTGTAAATCCACACATCTATATTTAAGTATTTTTAAAGAGATTATAACACTATTCTATATGATTTTTAAAAAAAAAACATGAACTACGTAAATTTGATGATCGCTTTCGAATACGCCTCTAAATGCAATCAATATGTAATGTCAGCACTAATATA